TAATTTGCATTGATCCTTTTTCAGTTACTGTAAAAAAAGGTATAAAATATATCTATCACTGATGACAGTGACAAGCCTGAATAACTATTTTGTATGTTTGCATGTATTCGTGTTACAAGAGTTTAAAAAAAATCTTTTGTCCTTGAAAGAAAATTATGTGCAAAGACTGGAACAATGGGAATTTATTTGTTTTAGTTTGCAATAAAATTTTCAACACCCATCTAATTGCCTTTTCTGACTTCATATCCCAGGGGTCTCAAGCGACCAGCTGAGAAACACTGCCTTAGGGAGAAACACACAGAGAAAGAGAGATTTTTTTTGCAGTAACAGAACTCGATGAAATAGTTCCATCCACAGTGTTATTGACAAAAAATGTAGATTCAGTTTTCCATTTCAATAACATGTTTAAATTTCAGTGAATTATTTTAATCTAAGGAACAAAAAATAAATTAGCAGAAAACAGATACACTAACATGTTTAAAGTGAAGATTTTAAAATTTTGTTTCAAAGCATAATGTTGTTCAAAAACTCATACTTTCTTTCCTCTTTTAAAACTAAAACACTGGAAGCCTCATTTCAGAGAAAAGGAGGAGAGGAGAGGAGAGGAGGGGAGAGGAGGGGAGAGGAGAGGAGAGGAGAGGAGAGGAGAGGAGAAGAGAAGAGGAGAAGAGAAGAGAAGAGAAGAGAAGAGGAGAAGAGAAGAGAAGAGAAGGAGAGGAGAGGATTGTTCTGTTTAACCTCAAAATGTTAACCTTACAGGTCAACACAAACTTTGAAGCTATGCATTATAACACAATGTTTCAATAACTTGAAATTTCCAAAATTAAATTGATCAGGTGTTTGCATAGCTCTCAGATTCAGAGTTCAGATTCAGTAGTACTTACTTCTACAATATTTGGCAAGTCATTCCCTGTGTATATGTCTGCCCTCTTTAAAGGCAGATGCTCTTTTCTCTGTTTAGACTACCACATCTCCAACATAGGACTACTGTAGATGAATCACACTATGATAACTTAATTCATATTAAGTAAGAGTTTACTTTTAAAAAATCACTCAGAGTTTCAGTAGTTTCAGTGTCGCTACTCAGTTTTTGATATGCAGGTTTATTCAGTGTTAGTAAGTATGGTTCAAAATAACAAGACATATTACTACGGCTGCCAAGTTTCCGTATAAAATAAACTGCAACTCACAAACTTTACTTAACTGTATTTGTATATAAAATAAAATAAAACTTTTAATGCATCCAAAGCACCAGAAGTTGGATTGATGTGAACTGCAAAATGTAAAGCTTTGCAAAAACGTTACTATGTTAGCTTTTAACAAATACATGCTTCAGCATTGTACTGAAAACAGTTTTCCTTTAAACAAAAATTTCCATATCAATCCACATGATTAATTTTTGCTTTTTCTGTTTTCTTTATCTTTTCATGTGGTTTTTTTTGTGTTGTTTAATTATTTTTTTCTTACCAGCTGAAGTCTCTTTCAGACACTAGATAAGCAGTTTCATAAATTCCGTTTCAGAAGATTAAAAAAAAAAACAAACCCAGGTTTTCTTCCCTATCTTTCACAGAGAAAAATGCAATGTTATTACCTCAGGAGAAGGTAGTTGAGTCACCACTGTATCACCAATTGTTGAAGTAAGAAGTCTGTCACCTAGAATACTTTCTAAATAGTCTGCCATTACTTCCTGTTGCTTAGGGCTGCAGTGGTTCTCCAAAGACAGTACAACTGGATAGTCAGATGCCTGGAAATACAATTTAAAGGCTTTCATTATTAATAAATAAAAAGAGGACGACTTGATTTCCCAAAATATGTTACAAAAGTCCCCTTGGTAATCTGTATTTTCCTTTATTTTCAAAACTTTCAGAATAAAGGTCAGTTGTTTCAGGCTAGTAACACAATAAAAAAGCTCACAATATTTACTGAAAAAAGAAAGCACAACTGAAGAAGAGAAAAAAATGCATCCTCAGGAAGTTAAGGGCGGGTTAAAACAGGACTAGACATATACAGAGATGAAAAAAAAACAACTAGGGAAATCAAATAAAGATCAGTTAAGAAGGACACAATACTTCATTAGAGAAACCAGGGAGTATCTGTGCTGGTCTTTGGAAAGCGCATATTGAAGTGCATTTGTCCAATAATCCATAGAAAATAATTTATCAGAGGCATTTAACATACTGATTAATGTTGGGTGTAAAGAAAGTAGAGAGAAAATAAATGTTAAATCAGCCAAAAATCAGGCTGATTCAATTGCACAGGGCAGAGTACAACCTGGAAGCAAAAAGCAGAATTTCTCACAGAGTTAATGGCTCAGCTGATACACAGAGTTTCTAAAGAATGATGCATTGGCTACTGTGTGTCTGAAACAGCATTTCTGAACAAATGAACCTACAAAGAAAAAAGGAATTATAATGTCATCTGCCAAAAAAGGAGGATGGGGTAAAACCTCCCAGACACACTAAAGCATAAAAAATTATTTAAGTTAATTTCAAAGGAGACTTAAAACATTCTGAATTCTAAAAACCTCAATGTTGAGCATCTTGGTGTTTTTTAAAATTAAAGAAATCTTCATCTCTTCAGACCTAATATCTGCTATTCCCAAGAAGCTTTACTTTGCACCTAAAGGTGCAACAACTGCTCTGAAATTCTGTTGACTAAGTCATCCCAACAGGGAATTATCACATTGGGTAGATGAATTTTTTAGAAATAATGACTAAGTTTTGTGAAAAATAATTTCAATAAGGGGAAATAAGGGAAAATAAAAATATAAAAGAAAATTATTGCAATTTTCATGAACCTATAGGAAGAACTTGGAAGATTTGACATAATCATGTACCTTTAAATTTACATCTGACATATTTTAGTGATAGCTCCTGTAGTGGCTGGTATCTATTTTAAAGGACAATGAAAAACCAATGATAAACAAGGCAAAATTGGCTTTCAGCTAAATATTAATTGTAGGCACCAGTTTACTGTAAGTTGCACAGATTTAAAATATTTCTCTGTTTTGTGGGCCAGAGTGTTTGTTTTGTGTACTGAATTTCCTCCATTGTTTACACAGTTTTGTTATGAAAAGAGAGAATTGTTTTGTTTTTAAGAGGTAAAATCAGATTCTAAAATTGCAATTGACAAAGTAAACCAGGATTTAATGTCTTTTGCTTTAATTTATGGCAGATTTTAATTGACTACATTTCAAGTTTACAGTATCCTTAAAATTTGCTCAGAAATCATTGCCTTCACATGAACAAGCTATGCATATTTTTTTTTTTGTAATATCACAAACTTTTCTTGGGACTCTTTACACCTTACTCATCACAATACTCAAGCAAGACAGGTGAAACATGGGAAATCGAGTAAAAATTAGAGAATAGCTCAAATGAGACATGTCCATTTAGACTGTGTAAATAAATCTCATAAGTTGCCAGTAATACTGGTGGCTACTAAAAACAAATACTCTGAATAAAATCTTTGCTTGGACAGAACCTAAACTGTCAATTTCTAAGGGAAGTACCATTTTGTGTTTATCCTGTTTTTACACTTTTCCCCTGAGCATTTGCTGTTGACTGCTAATAGAACCACAACTTAGCCTGGATAGACAGCTGGTACGAACCATTACCTATTGTGATTTTATCATCTTATTGTACCTTGTGCCTGTTAAGTGAAGTTTGTATTATAGTTATGTACAATATGCTGTGCATTAGCAAAAGCAGGTGAGTTATATCTAATGGGTTGTGAAGAACAGTGAAATAAAACCATATTTTTGTTTTCACTATCTTTTAAAATCAGAGACTAATTAAATTTTATGTAGAAATCAGAGCAGGAAAAATACAGCTTTGCTTAACTCCAAGAAGGTTATAAACCTATATGTATAAAAATCCGTATAAATACATGTTCACAGGTGTATATATTCACACACATAATGCTGGCCTGAATACAAGAGTTATCTTAATAGTCATTCAGGACATCATTTGAGCAGGAGTTTTGCCAGAAACCTATACAAAAGACTGAGACAGTACCAAAAGCTTTCGCTGCTTTGACAGATAGGCAGAAGGGACATTGCCCTAATGAGTCGTCTGACAAAAAGACAGCAGTAGATGGTAACTTTTATCAGGCCTTGAATTCAAAATAAAAAGACAAGAAATGGAAAACAGTGTAAGTCTCAAACTCTGCTGTAATCTAATATTTTCGTCTATTTTGTAAACTCAAGCATAGGATATAAGACAGACTGATAACAACAGAAGAATACGTGAAGTAAAAAAATGAAAAGATATAAAGGAGTAAAACGTCAGACTGATTCTGAAGTAGTTGTTCACTTTATATTCAGTCCTTGCTTAAATGACCTCTGGTGAAAATTCCACCTAACAAGCTGAGTAAGCTCTTCTGAATTCCTTGCACCAAGTTTGATTTACAGTCATTATCAGCAAAATATGTTTACCGTTCCTTAAATAAAATAAAAAAAGATATTAAGAACAGATAGCACAATTTTCCCGTAATTTATTTCAACAATGCCCACTGCCACAAGCACTGTCTCTGTTTCATATTTTTTTACCCTCTAGAATCACTGACAACAATGATGTCCATGGGCTTTGTTAAAGCCACCATCACATTTTAACCAACATATATATATATACATACCAGAAATGCATACTTGTCTATCACTTGAATTACAGAATGAAATGGAATTTTGCTCGTTAAAGTGTGACCATGATACACAACAGGTTCATTGTTTGAGCCATCCCAGCAGTCAATTTCCAGGCAACGACACCCTTTTAAAAGAGCACTTCAAAAGAACAAGAGAAACAATTTTACAGTCAAAAGAAAGATACCACACTTTCTTACACAAGTTGCTGTATTCCTGATTACAAGCACATTGAATAATTACAAAAAACACTACTTTTTCATCACAAAAGAAAAGAAATCCTATACAATTCCACAGATACGAGACAGAGCTATATTTTCTGTTGTTTATCTTAGGCATGTTAGATAATAAACTTTATTAGAGCATTAAGGAGTAACATTGATTATCTGAATAACCTCCATTAAGAGACTAAAAACAAGGGTCAAGGATTTAAATAAAAGAATTTTGGAATGATGGCAAATTGTTGCTTAAAATAGAAGAAATGTTTGAAAAGGCCTTTTTTATTGCTATTCCAGGATTTGTTGGCAAGTTTGAGAATCATTAGACTTAAAAATAACAGCATTGCACTTACAGAATCAGGTTGTGCTTGGTCTTTACATAATTCAGTTGTTCTCCCCCCACCTTATTCCTAATAGGAAGTGCTAAAGTTTCTCGGATGCCTTAAATTTACTGTGTTTTAATTTTTAATACGTTAATGACACCCCTTAAAGGTCTTAGGTTTCTAATATTTGGCTTGTTACTAATTTAAACATTTCCTGTAGACTATTTTACCTAATTACCAATCTGTCTTTTACATGCTGCCCTTTAGAATCATAGAATCATAGAATTGTTTAGGTTGGAAAAGACCTTTAGGATCATCAAGTCCAACCATTAACCTAGCACTGCCAAGTCCACTAAACCATGTCCCTAAGCACCACATCTACACGTCTTTTAAATACCTCCAGGGATGGTGACTCAACCACTTCCCTGGGCAGCCCGTTCCAGTGCTTGACAACCCTTTCGGTGAAGAAATTTTTCCTAATATCCCACCTAAACCTGCCTTGGCAGAACCTGAAGCCATTTCCTCTTGTCCTTTCGCTTGTTACTTGGAAGAAGAGACCAACACCCAGCTCGCTACAACCTTCTTTCAGGTAGTTATAGAGAACAATAAGGTCTCCCCTCAGCCTCCTCTTCTCCAGATTAAACAGCATCAGTTCCCTCAGCCGCTCCTCATAAGACTTGTGCTCTAGACCCTTCACCAGCTTCGTTGCCCTTCTCTGGACATGCTCCAGCACCTCAATGTCCTTCTTGGAGTGAGGGGCCCAAAACTGAACACAGTATTCGAGGTGCGGCCTCACCAGTGCCGAGTACAGGGGCACGATCACCTCCCTACGGCTGCTGGCCTCACTATTTCTGATATAAGCCAGGATGCCATTGGCCTTCTTGGCCACCTGGGCACACTAGCGGCTCATGTTCAGCCGGCTGTCAACCAGCACCCCCAGGTCCTTTTCCTCTGGGAAGCTTTCCAGCCACTCTTCCCCAAGCCTGTCGCATTGCATGGGGTTGTTGTGACCCAAGTGCAGGACCTGGCACTTGGCCTCATATAATTGGCCTCGGCCCATCGATCCAGCCTGCCCAGATCCCTCTGTAGAGCCTTCCTACCTTCAAACAGACCAACACTCCCGCCCAACTTGGTGTCATCTGCAAACTTACTGAGGGTACACTCAATTCCCTCGTCCAGATCATTCATAAAGACATTAAACAGAACTGGCCCCAATATACTGAACCTTGGGGAACACCACTTGTGACTGGCCACCAGCTGGGTTTAACTCCATTCACCACAACTCTTTGGGCCTGGCTGTCCAGCCAGTTTTTTACCCAGCAAAGAGTACACCCACCCAAGCTATGAAGAGCCAGCTTCTCCAGGAGAATGTTGTGGGAAAAGGTGTCAAAGGCTTTACTAAAGACCAGGTAGATCACATCCACAGCCTTTCCCTCATCCACTAGGTGGGTCACCTGGTCATAGAAGGAGATCAGGTTAGTCAAGCAGGACCGGCCTTTGATA